TAAGGTAGGGGGTAATAGGTTTTGCTGAAGAAACGTTGAACATGTTTGAACTAAAAATGCATAGTTTTCTTGGTATAAAGCTTTGTTTGAGTAAAATGTAACTTTATATTAATGGTTGATTGATCAGAAGCTTGATGTGTCACAGCTGATAGGGATTGATACATATGGGTTAGGGGATAAGCACAGGTGTTTTAAGTAATTGAGGGAAGCTGTAGAAACCACTAGTTTAGGGTGTAGAAGTTGAGATTGAGATGGAATGAAAATTAATTAGAGACTAGGAAAAGGATTGAAATATAGTGAGGATGAAAAGATAGTAAAGAGAAAATAACAGAGGAAGGGATGGTAGGAGCAGGGAGAAAGGGTAAAAAGAAAGTACATGTAACTATTCATATGTACATATTTAGAGAGAGAGAGAGAGAGAGAGAGAAGAAGAGAGAGAGAGAGAGAGAGAGAGAGAGAGAGAGAGAGAGAAGAGAGAGAGAGGAGAGAGGAGAGAGAGAGGAGAGAGAGAGGAGGAGGGAGGAGAGGGAGAGGAGGAGAGGGGGAGGAGGAGGGAGGAGGGAGGGAGGGAAGGGGAGGGAGAGGGGGGGACTGAGAAAGTGTAGGGAGGATGATATAAGGAGAGAGATGTGTTGGAGGATGGCTGAAGCTTTATGATGGGTGTGATAAGGCCAATTATTATTTTTTCATTTATATATTTGATGAGGAGACATTATTATGACTTCTCTCTTACACTGTACTATCTTGCATTTATGTTTTGTCTTTGTTTTCCTTTATGTGAAAGTGCTTTGCATTCAGCTATGTAATTAAATTTTTTAGACTTTTTTATGTGTGTGTATTTGATCATAGCTTTTGCAAATTGAAATAACCATTCAGAATTAGTCTTATTAGTCAAGGTGTGTATCTACATTGCTTTTTCTCAGTCAAAACAATCTCAACTAAACTCCCACCACCGTAAAACCCTATGAAAAATGTGTCTAACATTTATCAGAATGGAGAGCATGAGGCTGGAGGCAGTCCTCACAGGGAAGAATTTGCCGAAAAACGACTCTGGTGCTGCCTCAACCCACACAGACCGCGTGACAGGAGCACCACAGTGAGGGCCCCAAGGAAGGCCACGACGTCCCACGAGTGGCTGCAGGGGTAATGGCAATGAGAGGGGAAGTGGGCCCAGCGGAGTGCAGGTCACCATCCGTGCTGATGGGAGCGAGCTGTGAACAGTGAGGCCATGTGAGGACGCGAGTGGCCGGTCCTCTTTGTCGAACTCAGATGTCCACATTGCCAAGCCAGAGGTCCATTACTTCAAGGTAGGAGCTTCTAATCAAGTATTCTAATTCAGATATATCTAGGAGGAAGGAATGCATGTAATACGTCAAATGAAATGTTTTTTAATTTCATGATGTTATTGACTCTGATATGAAACTTAATCTTACAAGGGGAGTTCACTTTTTTATATTGTTTAAAATCAAACTAATATTTATTGACAGAAAAAGAAAAAGGAAGAGAAATGAACTACTATGGCTTGATGACACATACCATCATAACATATCAACTATTGTTTTTCTTTTTTTAAGCAAGAAAATGACTCCCAAATCCTGTTGACATTTCTGTGCTTTGATTTTAGAAACTAATGCATCCATCAAATTTTTGTTTTGTTTGCTTGTGTGACAACAATATGTGCCTCCCTTTGCAAAGTTATTTTGTGTAAACTTTTTAGCCTTTTTGCCATTTTCCAATGTCCATATTTGTCTTGATTTGCTTGATCTAGATGGTAATAGCTTATTTTCCTTGCACAGACTCCATATCATCTCTCTAAGTAGTAAATGACTCAGTGCAAGAGAAAAAAAAAATGAAACATTTGGTTAATTTTGTCATATTAATTTTTTAGTAATTTTCAATTTTCCATAATAAATTCAACGCCGCAGGAAATGGTGTCCTCCCAGGAGCTGGCACTCTTCAAGTCGTGCTTACACACGTTACATTCTACATTTGTAATTGATGGAATAATGCTAAAGACCCCTTCTAAGTGCCAAACGAGTCAGATCATGCTCCAAGAGGTTTTTGCACTTGTGGCGAGTCTTTTCCGTCACCTTGGCCTTTGCTTTTGACAGCAAGTTTGCATCACCCTACCCTCAGACAATTTGCCCGAAGACGGCGTGTTCACATCACCCGGCCCTTGACCCAGATTTTTCCATGACGAGACCGTAACTGTATCCAGATTGTAGGGGTTAATGAAGTTTAGGGCTCAGCTGTAAAATCCTATGAACTGATAAATTTTATTACATTCAAAGTGTAAACATTGCTTTTACTTTAATGTTAATTGGCTTAAACTTCATGATAATAGATTATGAATAAGGAAAATAAAAAAAATTAAAAGAAGATTTCAATGTAATACCATATTGTTGAATACTTAGACAGATTTACATGTCAAATGTTAGCAAAATACTGCATGCCAGAAAGATGTTGCTTCCCCATTCATATGTTTTAATTCTAAGGATGTAGATACAGGCATAGATGCTGAAAGAATAATATCCAATGCAGTTAGCAGGATAACCAGCCTTATCGAGGTATTTACCTTGTATCCCACAAATTTGCCATTGATGGTGAAGTGATTAGGGAAGACAATGTATTCTTTGCATTATGGTGAAGATGTATTTGAGGTTGAATTTAAGTTATCTTATATTAGGCCAACACAGACTAACCCTTTAATATGTGGATTCATTCTTTTTGTATATGCCCTAAATTAACATTGAAAATCTGTATTATCAACTCGGCCTAGCATAGCTGATAGAATATAATTGTATATACAGCAGAGTCAGTGTCCTCCGCATTCCACATATCACTATTTGGATTCCTTACAAGACTGCATTAAGCATAAGCTTAGAGACAATATAATATATTATTTACTACAAATAGACACTGTCATTGCATTATGCACATTAGAATTTAACCTTAGGTTGAAGCAAAGAAAGAATAATAAACTCCTTTATGGTATTGCTTGAAAAGTTTATAAGTAGACTCATTTCCTGTCTAGCAGAAAAAATATCTATATATGTATGTAAAACTGTAAGAAGACTCATTTCCTGTCCTTCAGTAAAAAAAAAAGAAAGAAGAAAAAAGATACATACATACATACATACATATTAAACAGTAAGAACCTAAAAGATGTAGATGTCAACAAACTTACCAGATTGTCAACATTTTCCCACAGGAGTACAAGTTCCACTTGGGAAGTGAGGGCACAAACAGCAGCTGAACCGGCTGGCTAGGAAGCACTCTGTGGTGCTGAGGAAGATTAGGGTGCAGCAGAACAGGAGCAGAAGGAGATCGAGGCAAAGTGGAGAAGAGAATGGCGAGGAGTTTAAGTCAGCTGTTACCAGGTAATGCTATGTTTCCCTGTGTTTAGTAGAACTTATGCTATTGCATGATTGGTTATGATTTTTAGATTTCATTATGATATTTTCCCCTTTCATCACTCTCATTTCTTGCATGCAAATAGCTTATTTTGTTATTCAGTCATCTTACCCTTACTTTTTCTTACACTTTTGTATTATAATTGAGATTCTTTCACATGGTTTGCAGAAATAATGTATTTTGCTCAAGGTGTTACTTGGAACCTGTGGCCTAAAATCATAACAATATCAGAATCCAGTTAGAAGTCTTCTTCGATGTTAAAAATATGGTACAACATTAGCAGTGTTTGAAATCATCATTATCATTATTTGGAAGGTACAATGCTTACAGTTGTAACCACAACCCATCATAACTAAACCCTATTGCTGTGGCTTAGGTCATTTTCAAGTTTATGTTGAAAACTAATGCTTTGCTTGAAATGAAGGGAGCACAGTGAGGCAGCACACAGGGAGGGGGAGAGATTAGGAGAGTGGATACCACCATTTAGCAAGGGTAAGTTGCTCTTGTTTCTACTACATTCCCATAACTTTCAAATGCTGTATCTTGAAATGATTTTGAGGAACAAGAAATAGACCGGAGTTACT